CCAAGCCCGTGTGCCCGCGGTGCTTCTCAGCCTGCGGTGCTTTTCGCTAGACTCTTTCTGCGGTGCTTTTCTGCGAGTAGTAGGACTCTTTTCAGCCTGCGGGTTTCTGCGAGTCTCAGCCTGCGAGTTTTCAGCCTCCAGGTTTCGCAGGCTCTCCGCTTCGCACGCCGCTCCTGAGTTCCAAGACGTCTGCCAAAGTGCAGGCTTTTGCAGGCTGCCGCTTTTGCAGCCTGCCACCACAGCTCAGCGCGCCGCTTTTGCAGACTTCCAAGACGTCTGCCAAAGTGCATGCTTTTGCAGGCTGCCGCTTTTGCAGCCTGCAACCACAGCTCAGCCTGCCGCTTTTGCAGGCTTCCAAGACGTTTGCCAAAGTGCAGGCTTTTGCAGGCTGCCGCTTTTGCAGCCTGCCACCACGGCTCAGCGTGCCGCTTTTGCAGACTTCCAAGACGTCTGCCAAAGTGCATGCTTTTGCATGCTTTTGCATGGACTCGCCCAGCACACCAGTAGAGACACAGGTCTTACGAGTCCCTGCACATAATACTTTGTACGCAATGTAGTCCTGCGAGTCCTACTGTCCTGCGAGTCTGTGATACAACTGTGTAGTGTCAAGCTCTGTGCGTTGATAGCAGCGTGTGCGTTGATAGCAGTGTCTTGTTTGACCATACATCTATTCAAGTTCCGCGTGTTGATAGCAGTGTCTCGTGAGGACGTACACCCATTCAAGCATCCGTGCGTTGATACCAGTGTCTCGTTTGGACATGCATCCATTCGAGCTCCGTGCGTTGATAGCAGCGTTTCATTTGGAGGTACATCCATTCAAGCTTTGTGCGTTGATAGCAGTGCCTCGTTTGGACATACACCCATTCGAGCTCCGTGCGATGATAGCAGTGTCTCGCTTGGACATACATCCATTCAAGTTCCGTGCGTTGATAGCAGTGTCTCGTTTGGACATACACCCCTCCAGCTATGCTTCTACATATCGATGTTAGGTTGCTTTGCCGGGATAATCTTGAAAGGCTGGGGCCACACACCAGTGAAAGCGAAGGGTGCAATGGTGGCCGCATGCACTGCGCAGAGCTCCACAACAGTGCTGTCCACCGAGCCGCCGCGACGGTCCTCCTGCAGGCGACCCACGCTGCGCTCGTAGGCAAAGTCGTCGGAGTCGGCCGTGCTCCACGAGCGACTGCTGCTAGCGTCGGAAGCGGCCTCCTCGACCAGCGGGCTGTGAGCCTCCAAAATGCATGGCGCATATCCGCTGGCCCCCAGCAGTCCACCCTCAGCATACTCCGAGTCGGGGGGGTGGACCCCGATCTCGGGTCTCTCGAGCAGCGCCTCCAGCAAGCCTGCGGCTGGGCAGTCCTCCCCCTCAGGGGCCCTATCGCCCAGCTCCTCCATCGACGCGTCGAGCAAAGGCCAGACACCAGGTGGCCGCTACGGCTAAAAAGGAGGAGCGTCGCGTCGGAGCTCTCCTCGAACAGGCGCATGGTCCACCGCCTTCGAGCGCCTCTGGATGGAGTTGAGCTCTGTCTGGGATGAGCCAGCCAAAATGTCGGCGCTGATGTCGAAGACGTGCGAGGCCGTGTTCCGCTTTGCCACCTGCAGCTTGGACGGTGTGCGGCCCTTAAGCGCAGCAGCAAGGACGGGGACCACGAGCTGGAGGCGCTTGGAGAGCTCGGAGTCGTCTCCAAGCACCGCCCTGAGTTCCTCCAGCTGGTCCATCAGAACCGTCTTCTCGCTCGTGAGCTTCCTCACAAGATTGTCTGCTGCTGTCACCGCCCGCGCGCGCAGCAAGCGCCTGCTTGCCGCGCCGCTCTCCATGTCTCGCCACGCACCAGGGGCGAGCCCCGCTGCCATCTTACACCCGGCATCCGGCGCCATGAGCTAGCACATAGAGCCAAGATGTTGGGGGTGCCTGGCTTGAGTCAAAATGGCTACGGACCCTCCTCGTCCTCCTCCTCCTCCTCCTCCTCCTCCTGCTCCTCCTGCTCCTCCTCCTCGTCCTCGTCCTCCTCCTGCTTCTCGTCCTCCTCGTCCTCCTCGTCCTCGTCCTCCTCCTCGTCCTCGTCCTCGTCCTCCTCCTCGTCCTCCTCCTCCTCCTCCTCCCCCGATGGGCTCGGCGAAGACGATGCCTCTGCGCCGCGCGGAGGCATGCCTGCCACCTTGACGCGCAAGCTGCGCGGCGCTCGAGCAGAGGCCAACACCTCGCCCGCTTTACCACGTCCCCGCTTCCGCTGCCGCTCTCGCGCGGCTCGGCTCCTCCTCCTCCTCCTCCTCCTCCTCCTCCTCCTCCTCCTCTGCGGCCTCCTCCTCCTCCTCCTCCTCCTCCTCCTCCTCCTCCTCCGAACGAACGAACGAACGAACGAACGAACGAACGAAAAATGCGCTGCGCCCGCGCGGGAACGGCACTTCCAAGCAAAGCGTGCACGGTGTTTGGGCGATGGCGGCGCGCCGCCCCCTCGCGCGAGGCCCCACAGCCGAGCCTGGAGAGGGAACCACGTGCGCCGCGCCGAGGCGGGCGTTCGGGCGAGATCTGCGCAGTGCCAAGGCGAGAGAGACAAGTTGGTCCGCTCGCAAGTTGGCGACACGTCGACGAACTAACAGCGAGAGCAGGCAGCAAGTCGACGACTGGGCACGTGGGCAAGTCTGGAGCAAAGGCAAATGGGCAAGCAACCAGAGCAACGAATCGACGAGTGGGCGAGCGAAACATTGAGCGCCGCGACCCAGCGGGAGCTCACCTTTCAGAAACAGTGTGCGCGGCGCCGAGGCGACAGCGACATGTTGTCCTTTGGCGCTGGACGCGTGGCCCGCCCTGCTCCCGCCACGCATTCATGATGCAACGGCGACGACGAAACTCCCCTGTGGAAACGAAGCAGCGTCGACGTCGTCTTGTATTCATGAGGTAAAGCGGATCCTCCCGGATGGGATCGCTGTGGGTCAGCTAGCTGGCAATGCAAGAGTATGCACACACAGAGCACAGGGAGAAGGAGTGATGATCGGAGGAGCAGGGAGGAGGGAGGGCGGCGGAAGGCGAGAAGGAGGGGGAAGGCAGGGTGAGGCGGGACGGAGGAACGAGGTGGAGGAGGAGGACGAGAAGAGGGAGAGTGGGAGGGAAAGAGGAGCAGAAGGACGAAGGAGGACAAAGGGTAACGACAGGAGCAGGTGGAGGAGGGAGAATAGGCGAGATGATAAGATAAAGGAGGGAGGGATGCGAGGAGGGAGGAAATGAGGCAGAAAGAAGGATGATCATAAGGAGGAAGAGGAGGCGGAGGAGAAGGAGGGAGGCCGAAGGAGGATGGCCGCAGCCGTTTTGGCTCAAGGGGCCTGCTCCTGAACTGCCCATCCTTGCTCAAGGGGTTCTAGCCTTCGTTTAACGGGGTGCCCTTTCAACCCCATTCGTGTTTCCCACTCGCTCCCATACCCCATGGGTTGGCATGGTGGCGGCAAGTGGACGCGCACGCACTGTGGGTGCGAGCATCATCTCGCTCATTAGACTTGGTGTGTAATCATCGCTATACTAAGTATTACGTTCCAGCCAGACCCCCTAAGGACAAGGACAACTATCGAAGTGGTAAAGGGAACGGTGGAGGAGCAGATGGTGGGCGCGATCATGGAGGAGCCAGAGGATGAGGAGCAGGAGGAGCCAGCCAGAGCAGCCAACAGAGGCAGCAGCAGGGACGTGCCATCCAGATGGCAACCGAACTCAAGTCCGTCTTGGCCAAATCTTCCTCAGATAATGATCGTACCTTCGCATAGAAACTGGGATCAGGTATCGAATAATACCGTGCATCTAGGCAGGCCCAATTACCACAAGGAATTCGCTTCCAGCGTGCCGAACAGTCTGAGGGTAAAGCAGAGAAACGAAACCAGTCCTTGTACGATCAGAAATCATAGTCACACCAGCAGCAGGAGGACTTGGCTGACCAGATCGAGGAGGAAGAGATCGAAGCTGCTACTATCAGTCTGGAGGAGGCAAAGGAGCAGCTCAGGAAGGAGGGCAAGGTGGGAGGGGGCACAGCTGACAAGAAGTTGCGAGAACACTTGGTTAATGCTCTGGGAGGCTTCGGACCCGAGGTGCACACAGCTCTTACCCAAACCCTTGACACCCTCCATGCCGAGCAGGAGCCTGAGAAGCAGGACGAGGCGGAGGCGATGGAGGAGGACGGGATTGACCGATTGGAGGAGGACACGGATTTGAAAGGAATGGAGGCACCTTTTCGTGAAGCTTCTGCAGTCGAGTCCACAGAGCAGATCAAACGCATGGCCGAAACGTCATTACCGTCCAGGCCAGCGAAGTGTGCCAAAGGACGGAAGGGTAAGCTCAAAGGTAAAGTTGCCCGACATGGCAGTGGCGCAGGGGCTGGGAAAGGACCACCAGCACCAGCAGCACCCCCAGCACCGCGCGCACCAACAGCTCTACGGACTCGAGGGAGCAGGAAGAGGAGAAGGAGGAGGAGAAGGAGGAGGAGGAGGAGAAACATGAGGAGGAGAAGGAGGGGAAATGAACGGAGGAGGGAGAGGAGGATGAGGAGGAGGAGGAGGATGAGGAGGATAGGGGAGGAGGAGGAAGAGGAGGAGGAGTAGGAGGGGGGGAGGAGAAGATGAGGAGGAGGAGGAGGAGGAGAGGAGGAGGAGGAGCAGGAGGAGGAGGAGAAGGAGCAGGAAGAGGAGGAGCAGGAGGAGGAACGAGACAAAATGATGATGTGGAGGAGAAGGCTTCTTGTGGCCTTCTTGGTGCTTCCTGGGGGCATCCTGGGCAGGGCCGCGCACGAAGCGCGACTATCTTCGCGCCCTCGTGGGCGATCTAGTTTACAGCTCTACGGTCTCGAGGGAGGAGGAGGAGGAGGAGGAGGAGGAGGAGGAGGAGGAGGAGGAGGAGGAGGAGGAGGAAGGAGCAGAAGGAGGAGGATGAGGAGGTGGAGGAGGAGGAGGACGGGGAGGAGGAGGAGAAGGAGGAGGAGGAGGAGGAGGAGGAGGAGCAGGAACTCCCCCCTTGGGCGCGCCCCGTGCAGAACCGCCGCAACCGCGGCCGCCGCCAGGGCCAGCGGCACCAGCGCCGGGGAGCGGCGGCTTCGCAGGACCGGGGCCGCCATCCAAGCAGACCCGCGGGGGGGCGTCCTTCGGGCGCACGCTAACATTCGGCGGCGAGCGAGGGGGGAAGTGAGAAGGAGAAGGCCTTCTGAGAAGGCTCAGAAGTCCCCCAGCCTTCTGGGAGAAGCTTTCGAAGCCTTCCCCGAAGGCGCAGAGATCTTCTCAGAGGGCGCGGGGGCTTCTGAGAAGTCCCGCCGTCTTCTGAGAAGGCCTTCTCCCTCTCATTTCTCCCCCTCGCTCGCCGCCGAAACATGGATTACGGATCCGTGCTCGTGCGTGCCAGATCCACGGATCTGGATCCAGATCTAAGCATTAGAGTGGAGACCAGTCCACAAGAAACCTTCCACAAGAAACCCTACTCTGAGACCCCAGGACGTCCATGGATTTTTGGTGCGGGAACGTCACGCCTTCCACAGCGCAAAACCATCGAAACCCAAGAAGCACCCAGGGCACCCTGGGGGCAAGCAGGGTGTTTCTTGGCATGGGCCTCCACTGTAGGCCACTGCCACCTGATTAAGCGACGGAGCGCGCCAGTGCTGTGCGCAAAAGCAACCCGTTGCTGACACACGATGCGGCCTAATTCACGCTTGCGCTTCCCGGAGTCCGTCCTGGCAGCCGGGTGGCGCGCCAGGGGAGTCGGAGCAGAGGGGGGCGCCGTTTTGAGGAGGCTCTGCGGCGAAAGCCTGTTGGTGAGGATGCGAGGCAAGGATGCAGGACCCCCGAATGCCCAGGTCAGGCCGCCCGGGGCGTCCTGGCAGTCGATCGGCGGCGCGCCAACGGGGCCAGACGAAAGGGGGTGGCGAATCAACCCATTCCTGGCGCCTCCCCAGCGCCGGAGGCTCCGGGGTATCCAGGAAAGCGCCCCAGCGGCGGGGCCGAAACCAGGCGCCACGCAGCCGAGTTCGCGCCCCCCCCCTTCTGACAATTTTCTGTTGCTCCTCTTGCCCTCCTCCTCCTCCTCCTCCGCCTCCTCCTCCTCCTCCTCCTCCTCCTCCTCCTTCCCTCTGGCCACTCGCTCATTGATGTCCACCATCGGTCTCCAAGGTGGCTTCACCCTGGGTTTTTTTCTGGGCGGCATATTTCGGGCCCCTGCGGGCGCAAGGCGAAACGCAGCCAACTTCGCGCTGGCAGGCGACCTCGCCACGGCAGTCCTCCTGGTCGTCTTCCTCTTCCTCTTCCTCCTCCTCCTCCTCCTCCTTCTCCTCCTCCTCCTTCTTTTCTCCTCCTCCTCCTCCTCCTCCTTGGCCGGCTCTCTGAATGGTGGAGCGCCCTCATTTGGAAAGCTGTTGGCGCATGCGAATGAATCACCCTGGCATCTGGACAAACAGCTCGCCATTGCCTTGTGGGGGATTCGCCCCCCGAGGTCCTTAGGATACTGTGGCTCGTGGGTCTGGCGCTGGCGTCATTCGAAGTAGACGCGACCATCATCATCGTCATCATCATCCTGATCGTCATCATCATCATCACCACCACCATCACCATCATCACCACCACTACATCACCACCACCACCACGACCACGAACACCACCACCGCAATCATCATCATCATCATCATCATCATCAGCATCATCAGCATCATCATCATCACCACCATCATCATCATCATAATCATCATCCTCCTCATCATCATCATCATCCTCATCATCATCATCATCATCATCATCATCATCATCATCATCGTCAGCATCATCATCATCATCATCATCATCATCATCATCGTGCTAATCATCATCATCACCATCACCATCATCGCCACCATCACCATCATCATCATCATCATGATAATCAGCATCAGCATCCTCATCATCATCGTGATAATCAGCATCATCCTCATCATCATCACCACCACCATCACCGTCATAATAATCATCACAATCATCATAATCATCATCATCAGCATCATAATCATGATCCTCATCATCATCCTCATCATCATACTCATCAGCATTTCTATCCTCATCGTCACCCTCATCCTCCTCCTCGTCATCATCACCACAAGCATCAGTCTCATTATCAGCATCATCAACAACATTATCATCACCACCATCACCATCACCATGACCATCACCACCACCATCATCAACCATATCACCATCATCATACTCAATTTCAGCATCATCATCATCATCGTCATCATCATCCGTGCCACAATTATCATCACCATCATCATCATCATCATCATCATCATCATCATCGTCGTCATCATCATCATCATCATCATTAGCATCATTATCGCCATCGTCATCATAATTATAATCATCCTCATCCTCGTCATCCTTATCATCATCCTCATCCTCATCCTCCTCATCATCATCGTCATCATCATCATCATCATCAACATCTGCCTCATCAACATAATCAACACCATCACCACAATCTTCCTCCTCCACCTCCTCCTCCTCATCCTCATTATCAGCACCACCACCACCAACATCACCACCACCATCATCATCACCATCATCAAAAGCATCAGACACATCATCATCATCATCATCATCATCATCATCATCATCAGCAAGACCATTACGCTCGTCAGCACCATCATCAACATCGTCGTCATCATCATGGTCATTACCGTCCTGATCCTCATCCTCATCCTACTCCCATCGCCATCCTCATCGTCATCCTCATCACCAACACCATCATCACAATCATCAGCACCAACACCATCACCATCACCATCATGATCATCCTCATCCTCATCCTAATCCTCATCCTCATACTCATTCCCATCCTCCTCCTTATCCTCACCACCACCATCATCACCACCATCATCATCATCGTCATCATCATCATCGTCATCATCATCATCGTCATCACCGTCAACATCGACATAACCAACATGACTCATGACCATAAGTACACTGGACAACAATCCATCACTATTATCATGTCCGCTACTCGTCGCTATCGTCGTCAATGGCAACTCCTCATTGACATCATCGTCGACATAAGAGCAGTGGTGGTTGAAGGCCGTGTCCTTCCAGACCAGGGCGCCGCAACCGAGCGAAGGTAGCGTGCTCCTAAGCGGAACCACTTCGAACCCAAAATGGCTTCGAACACGTCACGGCGACTGCCGTAATTAGCCGGATGCTCAGCAAGGACCGGGATGAGGAGGCTGCAGGGGGGAGGCCTGGGGGAGAAAGGACACCCAACACACATCACCGATGCTGCTGGAATAGACTCTCCCGTCCCAAGCCCCCTCCCCTTCGCCAACTCTACCACTTACTCTCACTGTAGCGAACGCCCGCTCGAGTCAGCCGAGGGTGCACTGTGAGGAGTGCATCTGAAGAGAACAGGATCAGCCAACATCGAATCGGGAAATCCGCCGACCCTGTCGGCGTGTGGAAGAGGCTGTCCCGTTTGACTCGTCTTCGTCGACGTCGCCGTCGTCGTCGCCGTCGCCGCTTTCTCTCTCCCTGGGCCCGTCGCCGCTCTCCCCTTTTCCTGGGCCCCCTTCCTCAATCGCGCCAGCCAAAACGAAATTGAACAACGTCGTAATTGAGTCGACGGGAAGCCCCTTCCCTTTGATCCTTTCCCCGCCAGGGGGGGGTCCTGGGGCGACCTGTTGTCACTGTGGCCCGTTGGGTGTTAGCTGTTAGCGTGGCCCGTTGGGTGTTAGTGTGGCCCGTCGCGCGGCTGGATGGGAGTTACTGTGGCCCGCGCTGACCGTGGTCCCGGGGGGTGGTCCACAGGGGGTGTCCCGGGGGAGTTCCTGGGGGGTGTTCCCAGGGGGGTCCCGGCGGGGTCCCCGGGTCAGAATACACTGGGGTGGCCCGGGGCCCAAACAAGTCCCAACACGAGCCAAGAGTGCCCCAACAGGCCCCCAAGACGGTCCAAGAGGACCCCGAATCGCAGAACGATCAGTCCAAGACGTCTTTACGGTCTCCACACGGCCCAAGACTAGAAGACGCCCCAAGAGGCCTCGAAGGGCACTCCCAAGAGGCAAAACTCATTCATTTCCCTTAGTTTCTTAAGGATTTGGGCGTTCTCGCCTTCTCAGCTTCCCGACGCTCGAAAACAGCCTAAGAGGCTCCAACGATCGCCCCAAGAGGCCTCCAAGAGGGTCCCGAAACGGGCCAAAGGGGGCCCGAAGACGGCCCAAGACGCCTGCAAGACGGCCCAAGAGGCCCCCAAGAGGGCTCCAAGAGGGTGCCCAGGGGCCCTCGGCCCCGAGAGGCTAGGAGGCCCCAAGAGCTCCCCAAGAGGCCACCAGGAGGCTCCATGAGGCCCTCAAAAGGACCCCAGGAAGCCATAGGAGGCTCCCAAGATGCTCCCAAGAGGCTCCCAAGAGGCCTCCAAGATGTCCCCCAAGGGGGCCCTCCAAACTGCCCCCCAGAGGCCTCCGAGAGCGCTCCGAAGAGACCCCAAATAGAATCCCTGAGAACTCTGACCCACGTCAGCGTCGTCGTCGCCGTCGCCGTCGCCGTCGCCGTCGCCGTCGCCGTCGCCGTCGCCGTCGCCGTCGTCGTCGTCGTCGTCGTCGTCGTCGTCGTCGTCGTCGTCGTCGTCGTCGTCGTCGTCGTCGTCGTCGTCGTCCCCCTTCAGGGTCGGCGGCACCGGCCTTAAAGGCCTTCGCAATAAGATCGGATCGGACCCTGCGTCGGATTGGGAAAAAAGAATTGCAAAAAAGGATTGCAAAAAAGGATTGCAAAAAAGGTTTTGTTTGCAATCCTTGTTTTTTTTGCAATCGTTTTTTTTTTGCAAAAGGTTTTTTTGCATTTTTTTGCACCAGCACGGAAACGGCATCGAACCGGATCGGCCGCGCCGCAGTGCGCCACGGCGCCCTGCGAGCATCGGGCCGCAGCGGAGATCGCTGGAGAGTCGGAATCGAACCAAAATCGAGCCCTGCGAGCTCGACATGGAATCGCATCGAGCGAGCCGGAATGGGCCAGAATTGGTCCTGGAGTGTGGCGGGCTTCGCGCAAGCAGCGAGAGGCGCTGCCTGGCCAGAAGCACGGATTCCTTCGCGGACGCTGCCGCTCAGGACGACCGGGAAACATCGAGATGCATTCCGCAAGGCTGGTTCAGGAAACGCCGCATGATTTCCCGAATGTCTAGCGGCCCTCCCAGAGTCCGCGCGGAGCAATAAAAGCATCCCGTAAATCTTGGACCGGATCATTCTCATGACTTCTTGCTCCCCTGACGTATACCAATGTCGCCAATACGACTGATCCCTGGTCCTCTCCTGGAGGGCGCGCTGACCAGGGTTCCGAGGCGAATCCAGCCGTTGTGAGAGCCCACCCCCCCAGGGGGCCAAAATGTTGAATACCGAGGGAAGGACATCGGCACTGGAATGCGCTTACTAAGGTGTATATGATGAAGTTCCCGGCGCTTCAGGCTCTGGGGCTTGTGAGAATAAAGGACCTGATGCGAAGCGACCTCCTACAGGCAGATTTTGGAAGAGAAAGGGAACCGAGTCGAAAAAGATTTAAGACAAGTCCACAAATAGTCGAAACATGGCCCCCAGACTATATTTTGACCATTCTTGGGCCTTCCTCCTGTAGTTGGAGGGACATGCCCGACGTGAGGCTGGCGAGACGGCTCAAACAGGACGTCCCCAAGGGGCCCCGAGAGGCCCCAAGAGGAAGCTCCCAAACTCAAATTGAACCGCCAGAGGCCCCCAGGAGGCTCCAAAGCAAGACGTCCCCCGAGAGGCCCCCGAGACGGCCTGAACTCAACCTCGACCGCCAGGCTTCGCGCCTCGCGCCTCGCGATGCGCGGCCACCTCCGCGCCTCGCGGGCGACCCCGACCCAGCTCACGGCTCTACAGCCTTGAGGGAGGAGGAGGAGGAGGAGGAGGAGGAGGAGGAGGAGGAGGAGGAGGAGGAGGAGGAGGAGGAGGAGGAGGAGGAGGAGGGAGGAGGAGGACGGGGAGCTCGGGAGAGTCCTGGCGAATGCGGGAGCCGTGGCTCCAGTGGGGGACCAGGCGGACGGACGGGGGGGATAGCAAAGGGGTCTTAGCGAACCAGCTCACGCGCCTCGAGGACAGCGCCCGGCGGCGGGCGGGAACCGGAGGCATGCAGCAATCCTCGCACGCCCCTCCTCCCCAATCCCCCCCCCTTCGTCCTGGACCTGTGCCGCCGACGACTCGAAGTTTCGCGAGCTCCTTCCCCGGGGCCACCTCGTCACGACCCACGGGGCTCGCACAGGGGCGCGTTCTGGCCAGCATCCCGAGAGGAGTCGGGCCGTCGCGTCGAGGAGGCCCTGGAAGGCCCAAGGAGGGCCAGAAACATCCAGACGCCTCGATCCTCGCACATCGTACCTCGAAATGCGATCCTCGACCTCTCTCTCTCTCTCTCTCTCTCCCCCTCTTCCGTCGTCCGCCACGTCCTTTCCCAACCCGTCCCTTTCGCACGGCCCGAGGAGGGGTGAACCCATCCTCCAGGCCCCTCCTTCCAAATGGGCTGCCGAGAGAGGCCCTTTCGGGGCCGCCTACCTTTCCCTTCGCAGAATCGGCTGGAGAGACGCCCTGCAACTGTGGCCTACAGTCGCCCCTAGGGTTGGTGCCACAGCTGTCGACAGGCCTACTCAGAGTTTGAGCACGCCCACTGGGGCGGCAGCGGCAGGCCCGTCTTGGGGCCCTATTCCTCCTCCGCCCTCGCCGAGTCCCCCCCCCCCCGACCCCGCTATGGAAGCCAACAGAAAGCACCAATGGCACCCCTCGGGGAAAACTGTCCTGTGTGCTGCTTGCCGCCAACGATGTGGCAGTCAAGCAGCGATGCAGCGTCGAGCCAGAGAGACGTGCCCCATTTTTTGCCAAAACCACACCGGGTTTGTGCATCACCCTCGAGGGCACGCCCCGTATTTCCTCGGATATGCTGACGATAGCTCCCCGCTTAGCGCCATCCTGTGCTGGATATGTGGCACCTTCGCCGAAGGCACGAGAGGATCTCAAGATGCATGCCCAGGAAGGCCCCCGAACCACGGCAGGAAGCTACAAAAGCAGCGTGCTATGGAGGGTAGACGCCCTAAGGGAGCCGCGAATTCACCGATAGTTTTGAAAGCCCCGATTTCGTTGGCCCAGCTGGCGATTGAACTAGCTGAGACAGACCCTACCGACCTCGAGATTGGTAATCCGAAGGGGGTTCTGTAAGACTGGACCTTTTCACGAGACGACTGCCATCCGCCTGTCTCAATGCCTGTCCCTGTCACTTGCCGTGAAAGCCCCCTAGAGGGGATACGGAAAGATGCCCAAGACGGCCGAACACTCCCCTTCAGTCTGAGCGCTGGTCCTCCTCCTCCTCCTTCTCCTCTTCCTCCTCCTTCTCCTCCTCCTCCTTCTCCTCCTTCTCCTCCTCCTCCTTCTCCTCCCCCTTCTCCTCCCCCTCCCCCTCCCCCTCCTGCTCCTCCTCCTCCTCCTCCTCCTCCTCCTCCTCCTCCTCCTCCTTGCGGTGACCCCGAACCCCCACTGACTCACCACACGGTGTTGTCACCACATCGGTTTGGAGCCCCCCCAGAGAGCCCCGAGGCGACATCAGCGCAAACTTGCTCTTGGAGAGCCCTGGGAGCACCCCGAGGCGATTTCACAACACAAAAGGCCTCCCAAATAATGTATCGGCGATGCATCGGCGCCGTCGGCGTGGTGAAAATCGGGCTCCACATCGAGCCGCATCGCGAATGCATCGGCGATGCGGCACGACCCTGCGACCCCATCTACTCGGACCTCGCTTGAGAAGCCTGGGTGGTCACGCCTGCCCCCTGGCCTGCAAGGCTGGGCGGGCCCTGCCCAGCGCCGTGCCGCTATGATGGAGCTGGGACCGACCGCCCCGGCATCCCCATAGGCCCACCACGACGTGCTCTTCGACAAGCAAGCGTGACCGCAAAACAGCAGCGACGCTCTCAGCAAGGAGTGTTCTGAGGACCCTTCGTGCAACCCCCACATCTTGCGGGGCAGACCTCCGACCTCGAACCAAGTTTTGATTTCGGCTTCGCCTCGTGTCGGATCACACCCGCGACAGAGAACGGTGCGTGCTGTTCCACGCCCCCTCGGGGCCCCAGTGCGCGCCCTGACGTTCTTTGTCACGGGTGTGCTAGACATGAACCAGGGCAGTCCCAGCCGGGAAGCCCTGGGCGCGCGACCCCCTGGAGAGGCGGACCTTCTTGGTGCACCCTCCGGCAAGAGAGGCTCTTTCGAACATCC